CGGCCCCGCGTCCCGCCCGACGTGGAGTGGGGACGTCGCCTAGGCCACCCGCCTTGGCACAGCGTGCCCCCTGGGTCGCGGCCTCGGCACCTCTGCCATCACCCTGAAGGGGTGGTCCTCTGGCCTCGGGAGAGCGCGTGGGCGTTCTGGACCCCCGCTGCCAGTCGGCCGGGACGAGCAGGGCCACCTAGGCAACCCCAGGACCGGGGGGGTCCCCAATGTGTGAGAAGTGCACACCGCGTGCCGCTGCGGTTCAGAGGTGGCTCAGGCTGCATCGCCAGGACTGTGGTCAGCCGCTGCCTGGGCTTGTAAGTGGCCCAGGTGGGCTAACAGGCCCGTCAGCAGATGGGTCAGCACTGCCCACGGTGAAGGTGTGTGTGAGCACCTGCCCCAAGTGTCTGGCGGGCCAGGAGAATAGCCAGCTTGCCCGCTCTTCACCTGGCAGTGTGCCTGTGTCCAAGGATTAGATTTTACTTGGATCCGATATCCAGTAGTTCTCAGTGTGTTGCTTTGGCCAACTAATGAATTATCTATGTGTCATGGTTGGGTTGAGTGTCCCCAAAGGCCCACAAGTTACAGGGTGGTGTTGCCAGGCCATGGTGGGTGGCTCCTTCAAGTGGGGCCTAATGGGGACCCTGGCCTCTTGGTCTCACTTCTGCTTCTTGGCTCATGGAGTGAGTCGCTTACTCTGCCACATACTCTTGCTGTAATGTGCCCCCCTGGCCAGAGGCCCAAAGTGATGGGGCCACTAGATCTTGGACTGAACCAAGAGCTGAACAGAGCCAGCAGCTGAACCAAGTCTTTTCACTTTGTACGTTAATTGCCCCAGACGTTGTGTTGCAGTAATGGAAGGGGAAGGGCATCAGCCAGGCTCTATGAGGCACTGTTGTGATGAGGCATCTGGAACCAAGACTCCCTCTGGCCTCGTATCTTTCTCTTTCCAGGTCAGTTTTCTCATCAGCATGCCCAGCCCTAACCTATAGGACTGCACAGTTAGCTCTCAAGTCCTTTTGAGTCTGACTGGACACTAGGAACCCATGGACCCAATCCTCTAAGGCCAGGGGAAGTCAAGTCTCAGGGCCTACGCTCAGAGATGGCAGGGCAGGTATCCTCCCCTTCAGGGTGTGGTTGTGAGGGCAGGAGGGCTGCTCAGGCCACTCCAGCCAGCACCCACTTCACTGCCTTCCCTACTACCTGCTGTAGAGACTCTTCAGGAACAGCTTTAGGAAAGGGTGACCCTCTCACCTTGGCTGATCACAGAATGACCATCTAAGCTGTGAACCAAATAGATGCCACAAGAGATGACCACAATTCAATGGGCTTTCATTTTAGTGTGATTAAAAGTTGAGTTCTAAGAATCTGAAAAAAATCATGACCTATCTAAAGCCAGAGTGGTTAGAATTACACCAGAAAAACCCTTTTACATCTTTACTGCAAAACCCAACCACATTGTGTGCAGAGGCGTCAGAGAGGGTGGGGTCATGGGAGCAGGGACACAGCAGCCATCAGGTGAGTCACCAACACTGATTCAATCAGCCACAAATGGAAATCTCTGGTCATTATGGGATAACGTGCATATGTACCCCTGCGTTGTATGGGTGTTGAAGCTGGGTTAAAGTGTGGTTTGTAGACTGAAGAAAGATTGCCCCAAGGATAAACATCTTTTAACAAGAATTAGGAATAGATGTGTCACAGATTTTGAATCCATTGGCATTTTTACATTGAGGGTTCGTGAACAAGCGAATCTCAAATTTCCATTTACAAATGCCCAGTCAAGTGACTGAAGTATTTGTGGTTATTCTCAAATTTAAAAACACTACTGGAACATAAGTGCAGTTAAAGAAAACATGGAATCAAGGAGTATGAAAAGATCCTATGGAGCAATTTAGAAAGACCCTGTTTCAAACAAACAGACAGAATAGGTTGAGGACGTGGCTGATGCATCCTCGTGGTTAAGTGCCCCCAAGTTTAATCCCTGGTACAGAAAAAAAAAATCCCATGGAAGTAATTATTGAATCATCCAATACCCAAAAACATAAGATCTGCAAGCCAAATGAGGCACAAAGTGTCTGAATTTATAACTTTAGCAAAAAGCACACCTTAGAAACTCTTGACAGGGACAAAAGAGGCTGAGAAATGATTATTTTTAACTTTATTTTTATTGTTGACACTATTACAGATAGAACGATCACAACCATATCAACAAACCGAAAACCTGTGCACAAGAAAGAAGATGATGAGGACACATCAAGATGCTGACCACAGTTGTTGGACGGTGGAAACATGGATGAGTTTCTCTTCTACATTTCCACAATGTCAAGGTTTACTATAGTGGACACATACTGCATGGGTGATGGGAACGTAGGGGGTGAAGGGGACTACTGACCACTGACAAAGGCCACTCAGAGAAACTGAGGCAGCACGCTTCCCTGTAACCCCACAACCACCTGTAGCTCTCAGCCGCTCTGTCTTCCAGTCTCCGACACGTACGGGACGTATCGTGAGCCCCCAGACCACAGCCCCACGTGTTAGCAGCAGCAATTCTTAGGAATACAGGTGAATTTCCTTCTCTTTTACTAACTTCCCAGTTTTCTATGAGTATGTATTATATTTGTAAAGGGAAAATACATACATTAAATTTGTCACCAAAACACCAAAGATTATTCAAGAAATTTTAGACAAAATATGTAGCCAGAATCCCACAATGACAACACTAATTTAATTATTTTTCACATGTTTTTTCACTTTTTGATTTGATGCACACACATTGAACACCATCACACCCACAGGCTGTGCACTGGAACAACGTGGAGGAAAGGACCGAGATGCTGGCGGAGTCCAGGGGCTGGGGATGTGTGTGAATTGTTTTTATTTTCCAATTTTGCTGTTTTCTAATTTCTCCTCTGGGTACATGTTACACTTATAATGTAGACATACACAATAAATGTTATCAGGACACTATTAAAAGGAACACTGGAAAAAATTAAGATAAAAGGATTTAACCATAATTCCAAAAGGGTACCATACAGCTATCTTGAACACACGTTTTGACATGGTTATAATTATAAACCTGTGTAAAGAAACAAGAATAAACAGGATGCTTTAGAGTGAATCTGTCTTTGGATGGTGGGGATATGGAATTTTTCCTCCACTTTGTTTTTTCCAAGTGTTTGATGAATTCCAATTATGTTCACAATGGAAATGTGATCATCAACTTTAACAGCACTACCATAAAGAACATTCAAGAAAGTTAAGAAAATGATGCTCAACTATAAGCGTACAACAACACAACAGCTTTTGACTATAAGCATACATTTTAAAGTTATAATTGTAGTATAAATATAATTTTGTGTCCTGCTTTCTCCACTTAATCTTCCGTAAATATATTTCCATGTTGCTACATAACTCTTTATGATTATCATTTTTAAACAGCTGCATAAGAGTCCAAAGATACGTTCACTTAATTCTTACTCTACTGTTTGGCATTTAAGTTTCCAATTTCCCATACACGTAAGGTTGGAACAGACACCCTTCTTGGCAAGTTGCTTTCTGAAAAGGGTCTAGTGATTCACACCGCCTATGGCACTGAACCCCCAAATTCACTCTGATGACATCCACACTGATCCCAGTCCAGGGCCCTCTCATTGGGGGATGCCTCACGGGCATTTCCTCGGATGTCTGCTCCGACTATGGGTCTTTCTGTG